AAATACACTTCATTTATTATTGAATAGAATATCACAATAGGAAATCTTTTTGAATGTAGTTCACTTAAATATAAATTGTTTTTTTGTTTCTTCTTTTTTGGTTAAATCAAATGCAAGCGTAGATTCATATTCAAATAAAAATATTATTTCTCTTCGGATTGATGACTGATACTAAGAAGTATGTTTAGTCAAGAATTCGTCATTCAACTAAAAAGAATATCGAAAACCATCTTAAGGGTGGGTCTGTGTGAATATGTACGAGCAAACAGTACACTCACACCCTCACTATTTTTTCATTCTCTTTCTTCAAACAAGTAATTTCATCACTATGAGTAATAGATAACATATCACAAATATAAACTCATGTAAACGAAAGAAGCAAGACAACAACACATTTCAATTATCGATACAAAACGCAACGCAAGGCCATCGCAACAGTTTTAACCAATGTCGAATAAAACATTCGTTACTCTTCTTACATTACCGGTAGAACTTGTCTACCGAATTCTCGATAATCTAAACGACCTGACAATGTTGTGCTCAATGCAAAATGTGTGTCAACGATTCAATATAATTCTGGGCAGCTACGATCGATATCAAGTAAACCTTTTTATAGTCATAAGTATCTATCTTTCATCTTTGGAATATTTCTCATTCTTCCAGTATATAAGTATGAGAAAATTTTAGTGAATAGAATGGTGAAGAGACATTAATTCATCAAGCATTAATGTCCTTGATAAAGTCATATACCCTACAGCTGCTACATTTTTTTGAAGCACAGCGCCTTTTTGAGAAGGTCTTAATTTTACTTATTCATGTCACTTGAATTCGTTCAATTTTTTTATCATCTGTAAATCTCCATACGAACAAGAGGCATCAAAAGCAGGGATCAGAAGACCGTTCACACATTATGGCAAAACTTCTTGAATAGCTACTAAATCGTAGATGCTCTTCTTTTACCTTAACATTTAAATTCAACAATAACACAGAACAATTCGTTAGAGTAAAACATGATATCAGCTTCTTCCAACTTAGTCGGTTAATTAAACACCATTGAACATTCAGGAAGAACACGTAAAAAATTTCAGGTAATACTACATCATAAATTCCATCACCGATGAAACGAGTAAGTCGTTCTCTCCCATAATATTTTCCTCAATGTTTCGACTCTGTGAAGTGAAAGTTTACGAAGAAAAAAACCACATTTTTTTCATATAGACACTTACCGAATTATATTTTCATGACAGTCAAATCGAAGATGTTACAGCACAGCGTATAGCAGATGCGTTACGAAATAATGAGGTGACTATCAATCTCTTCTTCATATATTTCATATATCCATCTGCACTATTTCATACAGACACTTACCGAATTACATCTCTACAGCAATCAAATCGGAGATGTTGGAGTACAGCACTTAGCCGATGCGTTACAAAATAATACGGTAATTATCATTCAGTTTTTTCTATACCTCATATACTCATCTCCATTTTTTCATACAGACACTGACCACATTAAACCTCTGGTGCAATCGAATCGAAGATGTTGGAACACAGTACCTAGCAAATGCATTACACAATAATAAAGTAAGTATCATTCACTTTCTCATCGATCCATCTGCACTATTTCGGGCAGACACTTAGCATATTAAATATCGGCGGCAATTCCATCGGAGATGTCGGAGCACAGTATCTAGCAAATGCATTACGGAACAATAGGGTAACTGTCATTTTCTTCTTCATCTATTTCATATATCCATCTGTACTTTCTCATATAGACACTTACTACATTAAATCTCGACCACAGTCAAATCGGAGATGTCGGAGCACAGCATCTAGCGGATGGACTGCGAAATAATACAGTAACTAATATTCTCTTTCTTAGCTATTTCATGTATTCATCTACACTTTTTCATATAGACACTTATCAAATTAAGTCTCTTCGCCAATCGAATTCAAGTTGTTGGTGTACGGTATCTAACAGATGCAATACAACATAATACGGTAACTATTATTCTCTTTCTCATCTATTTTATATATCCATCTGCGCTATTTCTTACAGACACTTACTACATTAAATCTTAGATGGAATCATATGGGAGATATCGGAGCACAGCACCTGGCAGATGCATTACGGAATAATACAGTAACTATCACTGTTTACATCAGTATTTCATATATCTACATACACTTTATAATGCAGACACTTATCGCATTAGATCTCGAAAGCAATTTAATTGGAACTACTGGAGCACAGTATCTAGCAGATGGGTTACGAAATAACATGGTGATTATGATCCTCTTTTTCATCTATTTCATACATCCATCTGCCAGATACTGTGCTCCAACATCTTGGATTCCATTCTGGTTAAGACTTAATGTAGTAAGTGCCTGTATGAAAAAGTGCAGATGGATTACGGAATAACATAGTAAATATCATTGTTTCCCTCATCATTTGAAATATCTGCATGCACTTTCTTATGCAGACACTTATCGAATTAAGTCTCTACAACACTCGAATTAGAGCTGTAGGTGTACAGTATCTAATGGATGCATTACAAAATAATACGGTAGTTTATTTTCTTCTTCTTTGTCTGTGTCACATATTCATCTGCACTTCTTCTTGTAGACACTTACCACATTGAATCTTGGTAGCAATCAAATCGGAGCTATTGGAGCAAAGCATGTAACAGATAGATTACGAGATACTACGGTAAATATCACTCGCTTTTTGGTCTATCTCTTATGTCTATATGCACCTTCTTTATACAGGCACTAACCACATTAAATCTCTCATCCAATAAAATCGGAGTTGTTGGAGCACAGTATATGGCACATGGATTACTAATTAATAAGGTAACTATCACTATCTTCATTAGGATTCCATATATCTACATACCCTTTCTCGTCCAGACACTTACCGCATTAAATCTCGAGAGCAATGCAATTGGACCTATTGGAGCACAGCACCTAACACATAGATTACGGCATCATACAGTAATTATCAGTCTGTTGCTTATCGATCTCATGTATTCATGTGGGCTTTTTGATACAGACACTTATCGAATTAGACCTCGGAAATAATAAAATCAAAGGTGTTGGAGCACAGCATATAGCAGATGGATTACGAAATAACATGGTAACTATCATTGTTTCCCTCATTATTTCACATATCTACATGTACTCTCTCATAAAGACACTGACCGCATTGAATCTCAAGAGCAATCAAATAGGAGATGTTGGAGCCCAGCATATAGCAGATGCATTGCGAAATAATAAAGTAACTATCACTGTTTCCATCAGCATTTCGTATATTTTCGTACAGACACTGGCCACGTTAGATCTCCAAAGCAATCACATCGGAGCTATTGGAGTACAATATTTAGCAGATGGATTGCGAATTAATAGGGTAACCATCACTGTCCCCATCAGCATTTCATATATATACGTGAGATCTCTTGTGCAGACACTTACCGCTTTAAATATCGGCGCCAATTCCATCGGAGATGTTGGAGCACAATATCTAGCAGATGTGCTACGAGATTATAAAGTTATTATCATTCTCTTTCTTATCTATTTCATATATTTATCTTCACTCTTTTATACAGACACTTACAGAATTAGATCTCAATCAGAATCAAATCGGAGATGTTGGTGCTCAGTACTTAGCAGATGCATTAAAAAATAATACGGTAACTATCATTGTCTTCATCGCCTATCTTATATATTTGTTTTTGATGCAGACACTTTCCGAATTAGATCTCGAAAACAATAAAATCGAAGATGTCGGAGCACAGTATATAGTAGACGGGTTACAAAATAATATGGTAAGTATCATTCTTTTCCTCGTCTGTATCATGTATGCATCTCCACGATTTCTTGTAGACACTTACGATATTAAATCTCTATCAGAATAAGATCGGAGACGAACTCAAGAGCGAAATCGACAAGTTGATTGAACTGAACAACAGAGTAAAAAAACATTAAGTGTTGATGTCGAGAATATAATGAGCAAGACTAGAAAACCGTTGACGAATATTTGGATAAGTTTCTTTTTCACGTGTCGTCGTGATAAAATGTAAATCGAATTGTTTTATTTTATGTGTGATTTGTATTGTAACGATATAAATTGTTATACTATAATAAATAATTACATATTTCAATTCAAAATTCAACTCCATACAGGAATGCACAATTTGCCATTAAAATGAAAAATCTCCCAATCACTATCAGAGTTGAGGGTGTGAGTGTAAGGAAAGATAGAAACACCCACACTCTATTTCTTCATCAGGTATAAAGTCTTTAACCAGGATGTGAGTATGTATGAATATGAATATTATATTGTTTTTTTATCCATACCCACACCCACTCTCATGAGTCCGTACTGGAGTAAAGAAAAACTCGAGATTATATCACATTTACCTATTGTAATGGCGGAAACGTAATTTTAAGTGAATCAAAGGTTAAATAGAAGAAACTTAAACTAAATATTAAGTTTCAAGTTAAATGAAACAGGCCAACCTATAAGGAACCATCGACAACGAAAAATTCACTTTTTTCGTCTTGACTTACATTTACTGCAAACTGCACGTATACGAATTTGTTTTCAGATATCTAAGTTTCATGAAAACTAAGATCCAACGAGAAACATCTTTTTCCATCAGTGCAAGCTTTCTAGAGCGAGATTGTGAGAGCGAATGTTTGTTTTTTTGTTTTACTTTGAATCAACGTCAATGGAAACGGTAGCAACTGTGTTTAATTTAGAAGAGAGAGAAAGTGTTGATTGTCATCACTTCTCGAGAAAGAAAAACAAAGTATTTGTCGTCAACCAGAAAGAAATGAAATTCTTTGCTGTCCTGCAAACAAAAACTATAACTCAATCTTGTGTTGACAACGACATTAACACACGCTTATATAAATTTGTTATAAACAACAACATTTTTGCTCTATTTTTCTCTCAAACGAGATCGAGATTACATAATAAAACTGGAACAACATTAGTTTGATTTAAAATAGCAATTACAATATTCCTCTGCCCTCAATTATATTCACTATTTTATACATAGTAATAAAGTATAAATGAAAAAGGTAATAAATCCAACATTTTTTTCGATTCACTATTTTTTTTTGAGTTCTGTTTATGTAAATAATACGCAGTGCGCAGTAGGATCGGCTATAGTTCTTTATTTTTAAACGAAATGTCTAATGAATAGAATAACCTAAATAATCATAGATTTAGGTTATTTATCAGAGCTTTTCTGCTGCTCACAGTGTAATGCACGTGTCCATTTGTTACTCTCATTCGTTCTGAAAATTTATCTTCTCTTTGTAGAAAAGAACATTTCTATTTTTCTAAATTTTAAAGATTTTCTTAGGTATTTTTTCTAGATATTTTGTTTCTAGCAATCGTTTGCCATTCGTCTGCAACCTGGAGAACTGAATATCGCAGTCTAGAGAAATCATTTGATCTTTTGACACGTTACAAAATTCTGTTTCTTGAAGACGTTGAAATATCAGGAAGCATTTTTTAACTTTTAAAAAATTCTCGGTAATTTTATGCTAGATTGTCTTTGGAATCGAAATGGGAAACTCGCAGTGTATCAAGAGTCGTGTGAATCCATCCGTTACCGAAATAACGTCGAAGCCAACTGCATCCAGCTATCACAAATCAGAATCGGAATCGCTTAGTTCGACGCCTAACGGTAAGATCAGTGTGTATAATTATACTACTATGACGGCTAGATGATTTAGACTTGAAAAAGTTTAAATTTCCAATCTTTAAAATGAGTATGAAGAAGACTTGTTATAGTGTGCGCTAAAAATATTGTATATTTGCTCGTTTTTACTAAAGAACTTTTATAATTGCTTAGATTATGATTCTTAGAAACTGTTTGGAAATTCTTAAGATAGTTTTAGACTATTATCTTCACTTTTAGCCATTGCTCATCCTCCTAAATATCGCAACCCTACACTTGAAGAATGCATTGCTACCGAACAAAATGAATCGTTGTCCTTGAGACAACGAAACTTAACTGATCAAGACTTCGAAATTGTGGCTTATTACGCAATACAAAATAATAAGGTAAAATAAGTTGTATTAACTCCTGCGTTTGAAAGTAAATGGAGGGAGAGTTGATTTTATTTTTCATTCTTTATTCTAAAACGAAAATGTCACACTGAAGATTATGTGATAATATGAATAATAAAATACAATTTTAAATTTATGATCGACCTCTTTTAATGTGTCTTTACAAAACTGATCGAAAATCATATGAGACAAGCATAGACGTGACCAAAACTAATTACTTGTTACTCTCATCGATATAAATTATGAATATCGGTCTGTTGTTAAAAAACAATTGTCGAATATGATGAGCTTGATAGCTAACTTTAAAAAAGTCTTATTCCATGTCACTATACCAGTTGCATTGTAAGGTTAAGTGCAAAATTTTGTTCCACGATAAATACGGAATCGAAAGCAACCGTTATTTTTTATTTCAAACATATACTACACTGTCCGTGATAAAAAAAATAAAACTATTATCAAAGGTAATCGATTTGAGCATAGATTGAATCGATGGGAAGGTGAGACTTTGATCATGCAAAACGTGGACGCAAGCGCATTCGTCCTCCTCCCGTTTGATTTTTAAAGCATAAAATATGTCAGCAGCCATCACACACAAAATTTTGAGCCCTAAAAATCAGGTCGACAAGAAAAGGCACAGTATCCTGATAGTGCACTTTGAAATAATATGATGATCTATATCATCCTCATCATTTCATACAGAGATTCACTCAACTGTATCTCGGACAAAATCAACCCGGTGACAAAGGAACACAACATATTGCTAATGCTCTTCGAAATAATACGGTAACATACAGCATAGTCTCTATTCATCGATTATTCATTTTCTTTACTTCGTACAGACAATCACTATATTATATCTCGATCAAAATCAAACTAAAATAGGCGACAAAGGAGCACAATATCTTGCTGATGCTCTTCGACATAACACGGTAATATACACCACCATCGGTGTTCATAGAATATCCCTCTTCCTCATACCACATAGGCACTCCAAATGTTGAGTCTCTATGACAACCAAATCGGCGATAAAGGGGCACAATATCTCGCTGATGCTCTTCGAAGTAACGCGGTAATACACCCTATTCTCTTTCTTCATCAAACATCCCCCTTTTACATTTCATAAAGACACTTAAAGAACTGTACCTCTCTCAAAATAAAGTCAACAACAAAGGGGCACAACATCTTGCTGATGCTCTTCGAAGTAATACGGTAACACACATTGTTCTCTCTCTCTTTGCCGAAAATCCCTCTTCCATATTTCATACAGACACTCACTCTTGTGTCTCTCGGACAAAATCAAATCGGTGAAAAAGGGGCAAAACATTTCAGTGATGCTCTTCAAAGTAACACGGTAACATACACTATTCTATCTCTCTCTTCATTGAATGTTATTCTTACTTATTTCACACAGACACTCAACGACTTGTATTTCTCTCAAAATCAAATTGGCGACAAGGGCGCGCAACATATATCAGATGCTCTTCGAAACAATACAGTAATAAATATCACCATCTCTCCTCATTAAAAATCTCTCTTTTTCATTTCAAATAGGCACTCACTATACTATATCTTGATCAAAACCAAATCGGTAACGACGGAGCACAATCTCTTGCTGATGCTCTTCGAAATAATAAGGTAATACATACTGCTCGCTCTCTCTTTCTTTTCTTCATCGAGTATCTCTCTTACTCATTTCACACAGACACTCCGAGAGCTGCATCTCTCTGGAAACAAAATCAGCGCCAAAGGAGCACAACACTTGGCTGATGCTCTTCGAACTAATACGGTAACAAATACTATCCTCTTTTTCCTTCATCGAATATCTCTCTTATTAATTTCGCACAGATACTCACTCAAATGTGGCTCAATGAAAATAAAATCGACGACAAAGGAGCAGAATATCTCATGGATGGTCTTCATAATACCACGGTGACACATCCGGTCCATTCTGTTTCCTTCATCAAATATTCTTTTTCTTCATTTTTTACAGACACTCACTCTTCTATCGGTTCATGAAAATCCTATCAGCGACGAAAAACATGAACAATTGCGAAAACAAGACGATCGTCTGAAGTTTTGATCAGTTTATTTTTGTTTTATTGAAAATAAATAAAATCACCTGCCATTTAAAAAATTGTACAATTAAGCAGTAAAATATTAATACACACATTCACCGTGAAAAACAAACAGGATGTGGGTGTGGTGTATATTCTTCACTCACACCCACTCACACCCTGTCAAAATGATACTTGCCGAAGTTTTTGTCTATCTGATTCTCACATCGGCTTATCCGATTGTTTTTCTTTACACAACGGTAACAGCCAATATCCTCAATAAGAGCGCTACACGCCTTCAAATTGAATCATTTATTTCATTCTTTTCAAACTCAATCCTACAATATCTGAACAGTGGAGCTTCTTTCTTTATTTACATGTCAACATGTCATGCATTTCGTTCTGAAGTTAAGCAATTTATACTGACAGGTGGTCGTAGCAGTGTAATAGACAGTAGTATTCCTCGTATTACTACACAACGAGAACTCGTCCAGAGAAAGACGACACAAAATATATCTTAAAATTAAACTCTACTTTTTTTTCTGTTTGCTTATTGTCTGTCTGTCGATCAATTTATATTTGTTTGTTTTTCTTCAATAAAATACTCTATATTAATTATAGTGTAGACATAGGATGCAAGACAATGGAAGGATGGAATTAGTTAATGGCGTTGTTGCAAGTGGCAATGAGCAAGAACATCATCGATTGAGGAAATTGTTCCATCATACTCCGAAAAATTAACCATCAATTATCTTAAATAGTAGCTGCCATAGTGTAACAATGGAAAGAAGGAGATTCACATATAACAAGTGCAGCTAGTTCAAATAGGAAGAGAAGTTCTCTCAATCAACATCGTAATCTATTGTTTTTATTCATGGTGAATATCGAGTATTTAAGATATTCTTCACTTATACCTACACCCTCATATCTAAATCAACGTCAATAACTGATAGAGAAACAATTTCATATGATAATAAACTTTTTTTTTTATTGTGACGTCATAAGGTTTATACAAAAAAAAATATGCATTTATTTTTATTTCTTTAATAATTATTGTTCATTACATGTTAATATATGTTGTGCTTCGATGACAACATTTGGTAATACTTGTTCCGAGAGTAATTGTACAGTTTGTTTTCCATCTGTTGATGACATACATGCTGAAATGATATCAGCTGGTGAATGAGCATTATCACACAATTGAGATACATCAACATGATTTGTTTTATCAAAGAAAAATTCTATAATTTCTTTACTAATAGATTTCGTACATTTTTTAAATTCTAGTTTAATATCAATACGACCAGGTCGGAGAAGTGCAGGATCGATTTGTTCAGGATGATTACTAGTCATAATTAGAATACGTGAAGGTTGCTCAATAATTCCATCGATTAGATTGAGAAGAAAGGACAATGTTAATGGATCCTTGGGAGCCGTTTGATCCTCACCTGTAGGATAAATTAATGAAAATATCATATACAATTTACAAACAATATATATATATTCAACTAACCTAATAAACTACGTAATGATTGTTTGGACATTTTCTTTTTTCCTGCATTGATATCATCTTGTTCAAGATGAATAACAACATCATCACCTTCAGTTGATGTTACTGGTTCCGATGTTGTTGAAGATGTAGATCGTTTTTTAATCAGATGTGACACTAATAAAGAAAGATTAATTAAAGTTTATTTTTCAATTATTAATTCTAATAGCTTACTGCAGTCGATATCTTCAAAGACGATGATTTTATTACTAAAGTCCAAATTAGTCATATCATATGAATTTAAAAAGAAAGCTTGTTCAAGTTCATCACATGTACGAATACGTGAAAGTGGAATTTCAACAAGATGACGTTTAGTATAAGAAGCGAGTGCTTTGATTGTCGATGTTTTTCCACATCCTATATAAATATGTGATTTAATAGAGTAAAGAAAAGGGAGTTTTGTTTTCTCAGTTAAAGTTCAACTTACCAGGTGATCCATAGAATAAAAGACCAAATGAATGAGAAATACCTCGTTGTTCATAAAAGTTTGGATTATTAAGAAAAAAATTAACACGATCGATCAGCATTTGTTTCCCGTCGAAGAAGAGATTATCGAACGATTTCGTTGTGGTAAAAAGATGTTTTTTGAAATTAATACAAACTTTTGCATTTGGTGAACCAAACATTGGCATCAATGTAAAATGATAGAAATTTCCTACAAAAAAAAAAGAAAAATACATTCGATATCAAATGATGATATTCATGACAAATTTAATTGAACCTTTATTTTTCTCTTTAATATAATCTCGATATGCCACTGTCCATTCGGTTATTATTCCTTTTAATTGCTTGAATGTTAATTTGTATGAATAAAGTGTAATTTTGTAATGAAGTAAGCCAATATTTCGATGTGCGAAGAAAGAATCTTTTGAATCTAGGTTTGTCGCTTTTTCAATGTGAAGATAAATATTTGATGCAATGAGAAGATCTTGTTTGCCTGTCGATGTGATGAAATAATTGACCAATTCGTCTAGAGGATCAGGATTTGTTGTTTTGGATTTATTAGTAGGAGTAGGAATAGATTTGGCTGAACATATATTTATATCTGCTACATGAAGATGATGAAGAATACCTAAATATTCTTCAGGAACCTATTAAAGATTATTCTTTTGGTTATTTTAGACAAAAAAAATCGTTTTTTTCTTATTACTTGCAGTCGAGTATCGAGAAGACCATTAGGATTAGCAATAATATTTATTGAATATCTCGCTTTGAACCGTCGCCAAGTGATAGATGAGATGAGCAATTGTAATTTATCTATTGCAGAAGCACAAAATTTGTTAATGCACGTTAGACAGAAAACAGTTATCATAATGAGTAGACAATCATGCCAAATGTTGCCTGTCTTGATACTTGTAATAATTGGTTGCATAACATAATATGATATATCTACCATTGTTGAAAAATTTTTCTTTTGAATAATGCATCATAATCGATGTCTTTTTATAGTCTAACGAAACTATATTTGACCTTATTTCCAAAAAATAGCATCTGTCAATCGGTTAACATATACCTATGAAAATGAACTTTATTGAACTAAATCTATTGTGATC